AAAAAAGAAACAAATAAAGTAAGCCCTATAATCATTTCAGTTTAATTTCTAGATACAGTTTCTAGATTGCAACACGGGATGGAGGAACTCAAACCCAAATCCTGGTTATCTTGCTGAGTGAAGGAGACAGGGCTAAGAATTTGGGAATCCAATGAGGCTAGAACCTGGAGATGAGGAAGAGCAATAGAGAGCTCCAGAGATCTGTAGAGATGTCCCCTTGTATCTTTGGTTGAGTATTAATCTGCACCTAAGTGCAGAGGAAATTACGCTAGGCCAAGGAAAAAAACACTGGAAAACACTAACTAATTTCTAGAATTCACACATAGTGAAGAAAAGCTTATGTTGCTATGACTGAGAATGGAAAGATATCATAATACATGGGACATTGGATAGAATCCTCAGAAGGGTGTATTATTAGTAGTGGGATGAATTAGCTCTAAAATAGTGGCTACTCTGGATTAACCTTAACATTGCATGACAGCAACTCTGAAAAAGATCAAATTGATTTAAAGTAAGTGCAAACCAGAATAAGGTCCAATACAATATTAAGCAATAAAACAAAATATCACACCTCAAAATCTAAAATTTATGTTGATCAACTAATCAAAAATTACTAAGTATTTTCAGAAGAGGAAAACATGGCCCATAACAAGGAAAAAAACCTAGTCTGTAAAACAGACCCAGAAATGATACAAAACATGAAATTAACAAAAAGTTAAACCAGCTTATAAACATGCCCCATTCATTGATTTAAGAAAAGTGAGTAAAGCATAAACACAATGAGGAGAGAAATGGAAGTTATAAGAAGATTCAAATAGAATTTCTAGCTATGAAAAATGTAATAGAAATAAAAAAGACTCTGGATGAGATTAACAGCAGAGTAGATACCATAAAAAAATAAGTGAACCCAAAGGTACAGCAATAGGAATTATCCAAAAAGAAGCACGATGAGAAAAAATGCTTAAAACAGAATAAACAGAGCATGAATTTTCTGTATAAAAGCACTAAATGGTCTAAAATATGTGTCATTGGAGTCCCAGAGTAGAAAAAAAATGAGAAGAAATAGTAAATGAACATTTTCCATAAGAAATGAAATTTAGAAAGCAATCCAAAAAGATAAATGAATCCCAAACAGAATAAATATAAAAGAACCAGACTGAAGAACCACCACATTGTAATCAAATTGATGAAAATCAGTAACAAAGGGAATTTTATAGCAGTCAGAGAAAACCAAACATTACAAACCAAATAAGGTTGGTGCCAGACTTTAAATCAGAAACTATGTAAATCAAAAGAAAATTGAGCAACATTTTTACTTCATGAGAAACGGGTGCAGGAAACAAAACAAAAACAAAACAAAATACTGTTAAGCGATAATTCAATAACATGTAATAATATAAAAATGATTTTAAAAAGGAATTTTTAATATAAAAATGGAGCTTGAAGAATTCACTACCAGCAAGTTTCCAATGTAAAAAGGTTATGAAAAGGTCTTTTGCAGGAGGGAAATAATGGAAGAAATTTGGCTCTATGCAAATAATTGAAGAATGTTGGAACAGGTAAATATACTGGTAAGCATAACAGACTTTTGTCCTCATTTAAAATTTTTTTTAAAATTCACTGCTTGAAACAACAATAATAACAATGTGTTGTGGAATTTATAACACATATAGAACTATACATATTAGGACAAAGGACGGGAGAAAGAAAATGGAATTTTACCCTTGTAAACTTGTTACAATATACATGAAGTAGTTAAAGTAATATTTGGAGATAGACTATGTTAGGTCAAATATATGTATTTTAAGCCCTAGAGCAACCACTTAAAATAATACAAAGCATAGTCATTAATAAGCTAATATTAAACATAAAATAATCATCCAAATGAAGGCAGAAAAAGAGGAAAATGGAAGAAAAAATAGATTAAATAAAAACTAGGTGGAAATATGGTGGTTTAAAACACAAGAATAATAGAGAGGATAAATAAGTAGGTGGTTTAAAACAAAAGTATATTAAAAATTACATTAACTATAATTTTTTTTTTTTTTTTTTTTTTTTGAGACAGAGTCTAGCTCTGTCGCCCAAGCTGGAATGCAGTGGTGCAATTTTGGCTCACTGCCACCTCCGCCTCCCAGGTCCAAGTGATTCTCCTGCCTCAGCCTCCTGAGTAGCTGGAATTACAGGCACCTGCCACCACACCCAGCTAATTTTTGTATTTTTAATAGAAACAGGGTTTCACTGTCTTGGCCAGGCTGATCATGAACTCCTGACCTCGTGATCCACCCACCTCGGCTTCCCAAAGTACTGGGATTACAAGTGTGAGCCATTGCACCTGGCCTTAAGTATAAATTTTATTAAAAACTTGAATTAAACTACAGAGATTGCCAGATTGAATTAAAAAACTGGTTGTAACTATATGCTGTCTGATTGTCCTATTAGTAATGATGAGAAAGGAAGTTTTATGGCCAGTATCTAGAAATCATGTAGAGTGACTCTCTGCCTCTGCCTCACATGAGTTAACATAAAACATACACAAAAAAGGCTCATCACAAAAATACAAACTCATTTTTATTTGCTTGGGTTTTGTCTTAAGCCTTTATGCAGAACTATCTACCCATATGCCTGACATAGGTCTTATTTTTCCTCTTAGTGCAAAGGCAATTAAAACAATCTGAGCGACCTCCTTGTTCTTGTTCTCCTACACCAGGAGTAGAAAAACTATAGTCTGCAGGCAAATGCTTTCCATCACCCGTTTTTTTCTACTATTCTATTGAATTATAACTCTTATACCACACAATACAACCATTTTAAGTATACAATTTAATGGTCTTTAGTATATTCATAGCGCTGTATAACCATAATCACCACAATTAACTTTAGAACATTTTCATCACCCCCCAAAGAAACCCTGCACCCCTTAGTTATCACCCTTCAATCCCCACATTTTTTGCACCCCACACTAGGCAATCACTAATTTATTTTCTGTCTCTATAGATTTGCCTTTTCTGAACATTTCATACAAATGGAATCACAGAATATGTGGCCTTTGTGTCTGGCTTCTTTCACTTAGCATAATGTTGTAAGTTCATCCATACTGTAGCATGATTCAGTATTTTGTTTCTTTGAAGAGTAGAATGATATTCCATCATATAGATATAGCACATTTTCTTTATCCATTCATCATTCGAAGAACATTTAGCTTGTTTCCACTTTTTAGCTATTATAAATAATATTGCTATTAACATTTTTATACAAGCTTTTGTGTAAACTTTTGTTTACATTTCTCTTGGGTATATACCTATGAGTGGAATTGTTGAGTCAAACTGTAATTTTATGTTAAAAATACTGTTTTTTACTGTAATTTTATGTTTAAAATTACTGTTTGCCTCAACAATTCCATTCCTGTGTATATACCCATTTTGAGGAGCTGCCAAAATATTTTCTAAAGTGGTTCCTCTAATTTACATCTTATTAGCAAATTGAATGATTCCAATTTCTCCAAATTCTTATCAATGTTTGTTATTGTCTTTTTTTATTGCAGCCATCCTAGTAGGTGTGAAGTGGTATCTCATTGTGGCTTAAAACAACTGAATATTTACAGGCAAAAGAATAAAACCGAACCTCTACCTCATACCATATATAAAAATTAAGTCAAAATGGATCAGAGATCTAAATGTAACATCTAAAGCTGTAAAACTTGGATGGGCGTGGTGGGTCATGCCTGTAATCCCAGCACTTTGGGAGGCTGAGGCAGGAGGATCACTTGAACTCAGGACTTCGAGAACAGCCCGGCCAACATAGTGAGATCCTGTCTCTATCAAAAAAGAAAAAACAAGAAAGCTGCAAAACTCTTAGGAGAAAACAGAGGTGTAAATCTTTGTGACCTTGATTTAAGCAATGGTTTCTTAGCTATAAAACCAAAAGCACAAGCAGCAAAAGAAAAAAAAATAGATAAATTGGGGTTCAAGAAAATAAAAAAACTTTTTTGCTTCAAAGAACACTATCAAGAAAATGAAAAAACAACCTATACAATGAGAGAAAATATTTGCAAATTGTATTTCTGATGAACAACTACTCTGGAATATATGTAGAATTCTTACAGATCAACAATAAAAAGATAATTAGTCCAGTTAAAACTTGGGCAAAGTATTTGAACAGAACATTTCTCTAAAGAAGATAAACAAATGGCCAATAAGCACATATAAAAGATGTACAACATTAGCCATTAGGGAAATGTAAATCAAAATCACAATGCAATATTATGACATACCCACTAGGATGCCTAAAATACAAAAGACAGACATTAACAAGTGTTGACAAGGATGTCAGGAAATTGGAACCCTCATACATTGTTGACAGAATTGTAAAATAATGCAGCCATTTCAAAAAACAGTTTGGTTGTTCCTCAAATTGTTAAACATAGAGCTGCTATTTGACCCAGCAATTTCACTCTAGGTTTATATCCATGATAAATGAAAACCTGTGCCTACAGAGAAACTTGTACACAAATGTCAAAAGCAATATTATTTATAATAGTTAAAAAATGGAAAAACCTAAATATCTATTAAATGATGAATGGACAAACAAAATGTAATATATTTGTGTGGTATATTATTCAGCTATACAAGGGATGAAATACTGAGAAATGCTACAACATAGATGAATTTTGAAAACATTATGCTAAGTGCAAGCAGCCAAACACAAAAGGCCACATATTGGATGATTTGATTTATATAAAATATCCAGAATAGGCATATCCATGGAAACAGAGAGTAATTTAGTGGTTTTCCGGGGCTGGGAGCAGGGAGAAGGAAGAAAGACTGCTAATTGGTTTGGATTTTCTTTATGGGGTTAAAAAAAAAAAAAAAAAAAAAGAAAAAGAAAAAGCAATCCTGAAATCAGATAGTGGTGATAATGGTTGCATTTTGTGGATATACTGAAAACCACTGAATTGTACACTTTAAAATAATGAATTTTATAGTAAGTGAAGTATGTATCAATGAAGCTATTAAAACACCTATTTATTAGCTCAAATTTCTACAGGTCAGAATTCTGGCATGGAGTGGCTGCATTCTTTGTTTAAGCTGAAATCAAGGTGTTGTTTGGCTGTGTTCTCACCTGAAGCTCCGAGTCCATTTCCAAGCTCATTTTTGTCCTTAGCAGAATTGAGTGTCTTGCAGTTGTAGAACTGAGGTCTGGGCTTGCCGTCTGTCAGGAGGGGACTGCTCCCTGCTTCTAGAGGCCACCAATTTCCCTCATTATGTGGCCCCTTCCATTTTCAGGCCAGCAATAATGCGTTGAATACTTCTTATGCTTCAAATCCCTGACTTCTGCTACCAGCTGGAGAAAAACTCTCTGCTTGTAGAGGGCTCATGTGATTTACTTAGTCTTTGTCTTAAGGTCAATTTATTTGGTACTTGGGATTTTAATTGTATCTGTATGGTTCCGTCAAGGTGATAACTATATTAGTGTTTGAATAAATAACCAGGTAATCTGGTAATTTATCATATTGGTAATCTGACAGGGAGATGGGAATTCATCTTTATAATTCTACCTACCACAAACCATGTCTGTGCTTCTTTTCTCTGGGGAAGGGTTGTCTGTGACTGTCACTTAGTTTGAGGTTCCACGTTGCTGAGATTCTGTCCAGTATTTTGACCTCTCCAACTGGTCTTCAGAACCATCTCTTAGGAGCAGTGCACAGGAAGATCTGGTGTTTTTAGCTCCAACTTTGGTCTCAAAAGGTCATCCATCCCCTTACATCCCTTACCTGAGTTGACATGCTTCGTTAAGAAGGTCCCATGGAAGGCTACTAATGGTGGAACTTAAGGTCAAATGGCCTGCAGTGATTGCAGTTATCCTGGGTTTCCCACTGGTGAAGGGAGAGTCAGGGAGGAGGAATGCCCAGCCATGTTGCTGCTGCCTTGATTTTGTGTCTTGCAAGAGCCATCCTAGGTGGCTCTGAACTCTCCTCTCTCTATTTTCCTCATTGGAATCACTGCCATTCAGGCTGGTGAAAACCCTGGCTGAATCTTTGTTACTGAATGTTCACTGTGGCATGGTGATTGTTTGGAGGTCTCTCAAAGGTGGAAACATGGGATGGGTAATAATTTACGATACACATCATCTGAAAATAGAAAAAAGAGGTTACATTTTTCAGTACAGAACTTAATGAGAATGAACCAAATGCCTATGTGCTCTGTTTTTTCCCTTTAAAAAATTATTCACTAAGAGGGCACATACTGGCAATATGCAGTCATTATCAATGTAATGAAGAACTCGAGTGAAGGCTATTTCGGATGCTCTAATGTGCCTGTTTTATGAAAGTATAAAAGGCCTATTTACTTTTCAATTGTTTTATTGCAGTAAAAAAACCCATCTCTTCCAATTTATGACTAATCGTGGATTTTATTATTCATGGTCTAATTCTGCCGAGGAAGGTTACAGAAGCAGGTACACAGTAATTCTGCTCAATTTGGAGCCTGAGAAAGATGACTGATGACAACTCAGCTGCCCTCTGGCTCTCACTCCTGGAGCTTAACCTTTACATATGGATACTAAACAGGCCTGGTGCAATCCTGGTGAGCCTCCCAGTGAATATTTTCTTACTCAGAATAATCAAATTTTAAGAATATGCTACAGGAAAAAGCTGTCACATTGCATTAGGTTAGCACTGTGACTTCATGGAAATGGTCAGGTAACTCAATTGCTCCAGCCCAATAATACACAGGCATAATTTAGTTCACTTAGAGTTAAGAGAACAAATAATTTAAAAAATATCCTATTTGAGGTTGTTGAAGGCAAGCAAGGAACTGTGGGGCAATGGATGATGCAGAGGGGGTATAGGAGCTGAGCTAAGAATAAAATAGGCATCAAAATACTCTGTATTTTTATGGAAATGCTTATAATTAAATTATATAATTTTCTGTAGTTTACAAAGCACTCTTACTTATAGTCTGTTTTGACTCAATGGGAGATTCTGTGAAGAGATACTAGTGTCTTAATTTATAAATGATGATACTGAGTATACTGAGTATCGGAGGCACCACCTCATTCAAGGTCACTTGCCTGGTTTGTGGGACTAGAAGCTGAACTTAAGTTGTTGTTATGGGTTGGCTTGTGGCCCCCCCGCCACCATAAAGATATGTTCAAGTCCAGCCCCCAATACTATAGAATGTGATCTTATTTGGAAATAGGGTTATTGCAGATATAATTAGTTAAGAGGAAGCCATATTGGAGTAGGGTAGACCTTTAATCCATACAAATGGTGCCCTTATAGGAAAAGGAGAGAAACAGAGATAAGATGGCTCTGTGAAGACCCAGAGGCACAAGGAGAACAGCATATGAAGAAGAAGACAGAACCTGGAGTGATGCTTCCACAAGCAGGGAACACCAAGAATTGCCAACCATCACCAGAAGCTAGGAAAGGCATGGAACAGACGCTCCCTGGGGGCCCTCAGAAAGAACCAACGCTACTGACATCTTGATTTTGGATGGCTAGCCTCAAGAACTGTGAGAAATAAATTTCTCTTCTTTTAAGCCACCCAATTTGTGGAACTTTGTTATGGCAGCCCTGGAAAATTAATAATGGCTCCTAAGAGTAATACAATTTTCCATTTATAGTGCCCTGACTATGGGCCAGGTACTCTGTAGGCATTATCATGAAATCTTTTAAGAGCGCTTCAAGGTCTATTATCATCAATGGCATTTTTATGACTTAACTTAGGTCAAATAACTGCTAAGTAGTGGAGCTGAGATTCCAACCCCAGCCCTGAGTTTAAACCTGTGCCGTGTCCACTTTGTCCATAAGCCAGAGTGCTGTTAAAAAATGTTTGTGACAGTGTGACGGAGGGCAACCTCCAACCCTCCTGAGTTGCTTCCTTATTTTAGGTCTCCTAGGCAACTACTAACTCAGTTTCAACTCTGCTATGTAACTTACATGCACTAGTTACTAACAACTACAAAATAGTGCCTGAAATACAGAAAAAAATCAGTATTTTAAAAATATATAGTAGTAAGAACCTGTTACAGTGCTTCAAAATTTACAAAGTATTTTCACATAAACTCTTATTAGGTCTTTTAAAAACAATTGGAGGCTACTTTAAGCAATTCTTATCTTTTTTCTTTCCAATTTTTGTTTCTAAGATTTATCATATCCCCAAACAGATAGTAAGCTTCTAGAGGTAATTGAATACATCAATTTTCCTCTTTTTCTTCTTCCGTGATACTGCACGTACACTTATGGTCTTGCAGTGATGATCCGTGCCATTCTGACAATGGTTATCAAGAATAAACTGGATAATCTACATATAAAAAGCAAGAATATAATTTTTTATTCTTATCTTCTAAATCACAGAAATCATTGCTAATGTTTCCCAAACCTCGCTGTAAACCACTTTAAGTCTTTCCCTCCTTTAATACACTGTGAGGTGGACACTAATAGCATCATCCTCGTTGCTCTAGGAGACTCAGAGCTAGAGAGGGATCCACCCACCTGTTCAGCCCTCCATAGTTCTTGGGGTCAAGGAAGATGAGAAAGTCCTTCCCAGAATATTCACATAAACTAGGACAGCCTTTCTAGGATCCAAGATGTGCCATAGCCTTGCTGTCACTTGTCATAGTGTTTGGCCTTCTTGGGTGATCACTAAATTCCTTGCTGGTTTTAACAAGTTGCGTTTCATTTTTATTTTTTCCAATGTTAGTTTTCAAGATGTTCCTCTCTTACGTAGATTCCCTAGGCAGTTTATTCAAAGTTGAGATAGGCAAACCTAAACTGACATACTTCGATTTTTAGTAATATGGGAAATGTCCATGATAAAACAACTAAGTAAAAAATGGCAGATAAAAATATGTGCAGTATGCTCCCAGCTCTCCATGTATCTTTCTGCTACTTGTAGATGTGTGACTTTGGGCAAGTGACTTATCCGATGAGCCTCAGTTTCCTTAAATGTGCATAGTAATATGTGTCTTGCAGGGTTAATGTGAGGATCAACAGTGATGCATTTGACACTTCTTTACTAATGTTGGAGAGTTATGTGTTGTCTTAGTTTGCTAGGCTGCCATGACAAAGTGGCACAGACTGGGTGGTTTAAACATTAGAAACATATTTTCTCAATGTTCTGGAGGTTAGAAGTCTGAGATCAAGGTGTCAGTTGTTTCTTCTGAGACCTCACTCCCACCCTTCTTTCTTTCTAAGTTCAGCTTTTATGTAGGAATCTTTAGGAAGTGTTTTTTCCTTTAATCACAATCACAAGAAATTAATCTTTCCCTTCAGGGTCCTAGGACTCTTCGCTGCACCTATGTCAGAGCCATGTTAAATCTTACTTACATTTGCATCCACCTAGGCCTAGGACAGGATTTGACACATAGTAGGTGTTTAAGAAATAACCCATTGAATTGCATTGAATGCCAGTTAATTAAACAAATGCTTTCCTGTTGTGTGACTTAGCTGGGGAATAGTTTCATTTGATCAGCGGCAGGCCACCCTGCAGGAAGCAGAGACCAGGAGGAGTTAACATGATCCCAGACCATTTGTTAAAACACTGAGAGTGAAGAAGTTTGTTTATTTGATTTCCTTCATATATATTTTATGTTTACGAAATCTATGGTAGAATATGTTTGAAGCAGCCTAACATTTGTGAATGTTAACATGAATGTTAAATGACTTTCCTGATATATAGACATACTTTGAATTTTTAGTCAATATGAGAAAAACTATTCCGCTCAGGAAGTTCGGAATATCACGTAGGGTGATTATTTAAACTGCTTATGTAGGAGGATAAATAGAGCAAAAAGAAAAGTCGGCTGTGAAAATGTGCAGAGATGATTTAAACAGGACTGTGTTTTGAAATGTATGGAATGTACATATACATATTTTTTGTCCTGAATGTACTTGTACATACGTTTATTTGGAATGACTCTCCTAAGGATATTTGGGATTACAGTGCAACTACATGAGTGGCTGTGTGAAATTCTTCTCATTGTAGGGACCTTCTCTTTCTCGTATGACCACAGCTCCAAACAGGTGGACTTTTATAAAATCTTAAAGCTGAAAGGTGTGCCTCACACACTTCCCTTGTCCAGGCTGGCTGCTTGTGCAAACCTGAGACAACACTAAGTGAGATGTTAGATGGTCTGTAAACAGCTCGAGCAGTGAAGGGCCTGACACATCTGTGCATAATCTGTAGAGTTCTGTATTTTCACTACCTTTACAGCTGAGGTGCCCATCTTTATTGTTTTTGTAATAAAACCTATGCTGTTGCTAATGAACGCTTTTTTTGTAAAAAAAAATCCTTTGTTCCTTATGCATAGTAAGAGGTCAGTAAAAATTTTTTGAATTGATGAACAAATGAACTGAAAACAGGTTTTTCCCAGCAAACTTCCAACTCCTCTGAAATGTTTGGAAGTAATCTTACTTCTCCCACATCCTCTTTTTTTCATTGATGACTTCACCATACATTTACCCAGTCTTGGAGCGAAAGCATATGGGGCGGTGGGGGGCGGGGTGCAATTAACACCTTCTTCTCTCTGGTTTCCTACATCCTGTCAATAAGTCCAACAACTTTTCTCAGATCTATTATCCCCATTAATTCATTCACGCTGTTTCTGCCTCAGACCATCGCCTTTCACCTAGGCAGCCTCAGGGACTTGTTCCAATATAGGTTTTACTGCCATGACAGAGATTAAACAAAACAGTATTTTAAAACACAAGATAGAAGTGAATTTCTCTGTCACATAATGATCCAGGATTGTTTGGGGTCTCTTCCTTTACAGGGGTTCAGATTCCTCCTGTGAAACCCAGAGGTTTCACATGTAATTTAAATTCACATCCCATTTGTCGGGATTAGTAACATGGCTCATCTCAGAGCAAGGGGATAGCTGGGAAATGTAATTATGTTAGTCTGTTTTCATGCTGCTAATAAAGACATACCTGAGACTGGGAAATTTACAAAGGAAAGAGGTTTAATGGACTCACAGTTCCACATGGCTGGGGAGGCCTCATAATCATGGTAGAAGGCAAGGAGGACCAAGTCACATCTTACAGGATGGCAAAAGGCAGAGAGAGAGCTTGTGCAGGAAAACTCTCCCTTATAAAACCATCAGGTTTCATGAGACTTATTCACTCTC